GCCAGACAGTTGCGAAAGAGCGCATGGTGTTAGTGAGAAAGACGCAGCTCGAAATCCCAAGGATTCGGCACCCTTTTCGCACTTGCACGCAGGGGCGGCGGTGGCTGAACACCCTCACCATACATCATGCGTGTGTTTCACTACCCCCAAACATCTACGAAAGAGTGCACGGTGTTAGTGGGAGAGACGCCGTTAAAACAAATCTCATCGAAGGATTCGGCACCCTTCTCGCACTTGCACGCAGGGGCGGCGGCGACAGAACACACACACACACACCATACACCACGCGTCTGTTTCACTATCCCCAGACAGATGCGAAAGAGTGCATGGTGTTTGCGGGGGAGACGCAATTCGAAATCCCACGGGCGCAGGCCGAAAGATGTTCCCCTTTAGCCCCACATGTCGGAAGCGACGGCATCCCGTCCTTCCTGCTTTCCTCCCCCCTCCTCGTGCCTTCTTCTTCCTCCTCCCCCTTTCTGTCCTGGGAAGACCCCCCCTCCCCTGCAGAATCATAGCTTTGATCAGCAGATCCACAGTTTCGTTGATGGCATGATGCTTCACGTGCGGTGCCCCACGGAACTCATTTCCCCTGGATCAGGGATGTTAAGTATTATTATATGTTCATTTCCGGGGAATTGCATGGACCCATTGGTTGCTCACGCACGGGAAGTTGGATCCGCGCAAGACAGAAATAGGATCCGTGACATTGTCGCACACCCGAAAAAAAATACAATCGGATCCATCGGTGTTCTCACATCTGCAGTCCAAAAAGAAAATGTTCGGCATGGGGATGCATACATGCATACATAAATGCATGAATGCATGCATGCATACATACATAGATATACATATACGTACATACATACATCCATATATACATACAAACATGCATACATACATACGCATGTGTTTAACATTGTCTCCATATATATATATATATATAAATGTATAGTCTCCTGTGGCTGAGGCGCGGCCGGACCAAATGACTCCCTTCCGGGCGGCCGGGGCCCCGCGGTGTCCCGCCGGTGTCCCGCTGGTGTCCCGTGTGGCTGAGGCGCGGCCGGACCAAATGATTCCCTTCCGGGCGGCCGGGGCCCCGCGGTGTCCCGCCGGTGTCCCGCTGGTGTCCCGTGTGGCTGAGGCGCGGCCGGACGAAATGATTCCCTTCCGGGGCACAGGGCGACCGCCGTCCACAGGCAGGGCCCCGAGCACGTTGGGTCGGGGTCCGGGGGTCTCGGGTGTCCCGGGGGCCTTGGTGCGGGTGTCCCAGGGCGACCACCGTCATCACCACCACGGCCAAATGGCGCCGTTAGCTGCCGTTGCGCAAGTTGGGCAGGTTCCCAGGGGGAGGGCCGAATGGTACCAAGGCGCCAAAGAGCGAAGGGTGACGTAAACAACTCGACACCAACGCTCCCAAGAGCGAGCGGCAACGCAACTATCTCCACTGGCATTGTCACAACAACATTCACCACTGTTGCCCATTGCTGGGCCCCTCCCCCCCCCCAACCTCCTTATCACCCGCAGGGTGGTCGTATAGGTATATATGTCGAGGTGCTCCGCTTGTCAGGAACGGCCCGGATCCGGCTCAAGAAACATTGGTTGTCGGGGGCGCTCCGCGGCAGAAGCCGAATAGCAATGGCATTCACGTGCAGGATGTACTCCGCGATGTACTTAGCCGCCTCCAAGGGCGGCGTTGTGCCCACTCCCAGTCCGTGAGGGAGCAGTCCGCACGGTGCCACACACGGTGGAGGGCCCTCAGGATAGCTGCTCCAGAGTGCGCGTGCGTCCAGCACGCGGCGTGCAGCCGCGCTGCACTGGCAATTCCACCGTCGGTGCATGGCGGTCTCGACCGCGCCTCTGCCTTTCGTGGAGCTGGAATCCGCCACGCCCGAAGCATCACCGTACAGCCAGAGTCGAAGAATAAGATACAGCATAAACATAAACTGTTGGCGCTCCGCGCGGATTTCTTGGATCCGCGCTGGGCCCCCCCTGGCGGCGCCTCCAGCGCCGCCCCTGGCGCGCTCCGCGGGCCAGGGAGGGGGTCCAGCGCAGATCCAAGAAGTTCGCGCGGAGCGCCAACAGTTTATGTTCATGTTTTTTTTTCCACTACAGACTGGTGTCACCGTTGTGTCCTCGCCGAAGGCACCCTGGTCGAGCGCGTTGACGCCGACAAAGCCCCGCGGTTCCTCTTGCGGAGGCTCCGGTACGCATACCCATTTCGCGGGGAGAAGGCATGGAAGCCAGAAGTTTTCTGTTGCATTCCCCTGGGCCACCCCTGTAGGACAAGGTCGGTCGTGTCCTTGTAGATTTTTAGTTCCACTGGTCATCTCGCAAAGTCACGCACGGTGCATCGAGCTCTCGCCGACGTTCTTGCATTTGTCGCAGGTATGCCACGATATGGCTTCAGCATATTTTGCTTCCGCAGCTTGGGCAAAGACCCATACGTGGCAACATTGTGCATCACCTCTGGCAACATTTATCCCTGGTCCTGCTCCGCAAGATGACGGAGCAGCATTCGATACGAATCGTTGCCAGTGCCATTTTCAAGCCGCTGACCTGATAGTGAGTATGCACGCTTGCAAAGGCGACACGGTGCCGTGTACCGAACATCTGGCGGCAGCGGTTGGTGCGTGTCCAGCAGCTCGTTGTCGGTGTAGATCTCGTCGGGGAATTGCCACTCCTCGATTGTACCGTGATCCACGTGTTAGGCCCACTCGCTGGCTGAGATGGGCTTCCACACCAACCTTAGAATCTGCAGTACGATCGCCGAGATGGGTCTGTCCGCGGACAAGCCCGACATGCTTGGTCGGGTAGACAGTGGCTCAGTTGCCCTGGTGGCGCCCGAAGCTCAAGTAACGTCCTGAGTGATTGCTCAGACGCGGGGCTAGCCGCCGTCTGCAATCAGTAAGTGACGGCCGAGGATCCCGTCCACACGGTATCCGTATGTGCCAGTTGCTCGTCGCCCCGCCTTCTCCAGGCACGACGTTTGATGTTACTTCTGAGCGGCCGCTTTTTTATCTGAGACGTGGCAGAGTTCTGGAGATTCTCAGGCATGGCCTTGCCCTCGAGGGTCGAAGGAGTTGACATCTCCTCCGCCGCGGAAGGCGGCGGAAGGTCGGCGGAAGTGACATGAGGCCGCCTCCGCCTGCGGAAGCTGAGCGGAAGGCGGCGGAAGGAAAAAGTTGCCCTCCAAGAGACGAAAACGTTTTGGGATCAGGGTTCCCGGAATGGCCCATATGGCGCCAATTCGTGTCCATGTTCTGCCCCGACGTTTCACACCTCTCAACAAGTCGGCCTGCCAGGAGGCCAGCGCGTCTGGCGCGCCCGCCGCCTTTGTGGGGTCGCCTCGCGGCGACGGCGCCTGTTTGTTCGTGTGTTTCTTTTGGCGGCCGTCGAAAACCGACCGATATTGTTACACGCCAGTCGTTGGAAGTATGTTTTTCTGGATTCTCAAATCCCCATCTATTTCAAGCGCCTTCCTATTTCCAGAATCGACATGCTTCTGCTGTGTTTTGTTATTATCTGGGACGGCCTGAACCCAATCTATGTGATCCGCCTTCCTACTTTATGTGTTTACCTACTTCTTCCGACCGGCGTGTATTCAGACGCTTATGCTTGTCGTCTCGCTTCATACGTGTAGCTCTGTCTCGGCGTCCGCAATTGAAACCCACAGACCGAGGTACAGAGCTGGCTGCACCGACTGGACCCGAAAGCCACGAGTGCGAACCGCGTACTGCATCGCGCTGGTGCAAAGGACACCCAACCTTGGCGAAGCCCACAGCCTTTGCTCGACCAGTGCACGACGGCACAGGAGGTCAAACCGATGACGACTGCCGCCCGCAAGCCCACCACCTTCGGCGGAACGTCACCCGCAGCCGACGCCCTAGGGGGGGGGCCCGCCGAGGCCGCCCTTTGCACGGCAACTTGGCATCGCTCGGACGTGCGCATTTTTCCTTCGGCTGACCATCGAGGAGCATCCTTGATCATTCGGCGATTTTTTTTGGGCGGGGACCATCGAGGAGCATCCTGGATCCTCGAGCCAAAAAGAAGCGCACGAAGCCAGCAAATGCGCGGGGGAGGGACGTCCGAGTGATGGCAAGTGCATTGGCCGTGTCAATGGCTCCTCAATCGCATTCAGGAGAAGCGCGAGCTCGCTGATGGCCCCCACGGGGGGGCGCTGATAGTCCATGGAGGTGAACATGTCGGACGCCAATGTCCGCAGAGGCTTGTCTTCTTCGAAGAGGCTCAATGTATATCTTGGCATCGCTCGGGCGTGTGCATGTTTTATCGGCGAGGAGCATCCTCGATCATCGAGCGGAAAAAAACGCACGAAGCCGAACAATGCACGGGGAATGGACGTCCGAGCGATGACGAGATGTAGTTGGCAGGATCGCGGGAGCGTGAGGAGGAGCAGGGAGAAGGGGAGGAGCAGGAGGAGGGAAAGGGAGGAGCGACGGAAACAGAGGGCTTGGCTTGGTGCCGTGACCGGAATTCTTCGGCGCGGAGATTGACAGGGTGGTGAAGCAATTGAACATTCCCGCTCGCAGGGAGAAGTGGAGGAGGAGGAGGAGGAGGAGGAGGAGGACGGGGAGGACATGGGAGGAGAAAGAGGAGGAGAAGGAGGCGGAGGAGGAGTACGAGGAGGCGGAAGGAGCAGGAGGAGGCGGAGGAGGAGGGAGGAGGCAGAGGTAGGAGGAGGAGGGGGGAGGGGGAAGGACGGGGGATGGGGGAGGAGGAGGGGGGGGAAAACGGGGAGGGGGAGGAGGAAGACGGGTAGGGGGAAGACGAAGAGTAAGTTGGAGGAAGGCGGAGGAGCGGGAGGAGGAGGAGGCGGAGGAGTGAGGACGGAGGAGGAGGAGGAGGAGGAGGAGGAGGAGGAGGAGGACGAGGAGGAGGACGAGGAGGAGGAAGGAGAGTAGGAGAGGGAGAAGGAGGAGGAGGAGGAGGAGGAGCCACGTAGGGGAAGGGCAGTGGGGATGCCGCTCCCGTGCGGCCCGAAGGCGGTGCAGCCAGCGTTCCAGGCGCCTGGAGCGAAGCCAAAGGCGGAGGAGACGCAGGCCGCGTTGCCTCCCCCCCCTTGCCCAGAGGGCGCCGCCTCGGCCTGCCGCCGCCTCCTGCTCATCGTCGTCGTCCTCCCCCTCCTCCTCCTCCTCCTCCTCCTCCTCCTCCTCCTCCTCCTCGTCGTCGTCGTCGTCATCATCATTCCTCGTCCTTCTCCCGTTTCCTCCTCCTCCTCCTTCCTCACCCTTTCCTTCTCCCCTCCTCTCCAAGTCCTCCTAATCCCTCCTTCGTCCTCTCCCTCCCCCTCATCGTCGCCGCCGCCGTCGCTGCGTCTTCATGCCTCATCGGTCGTCCTCCTCCAGCCTCATGCTCCTCGTTCTCCTGTTCCTCCTTCCTGCTCATCGGTTCCTCCTCCTCCTCCGACTCCGTCACCCTCCCCCCCCCGTTGGTCCCCCCTCTTCCCCCCCCCCCTCGTCGGCGCCGGCTCTCCTCAGTTTTCATGTTTCATGAACGGGGGAAACTAAATATGGGGAAACTAAATAGTGGGAACAGTGGGTAACTAAATATGGGGAAACTAAATATGGGGAAACTAAATATCCTGAGTCTTCCCCCCCCCGCAACAGTGGGAAACTGAATATTTGTCTGGCGACCTCATTGCCGGACTGGGGCCCCGACAACAACGAAAACTAATTGCTTTTCCCGCCGCCGCCGCTGACGACAACACCGACGACGACGACGACGAGGAGGAAGAAGAGGAGGAGGAGGACGGGGAGAAGGAGGAGGAGGAGGAGGAGGAGGAGGTTACTCTGAAACTCTCAAAGGTTGAATGCTCTGAAACCCATTGCTCTGAAACTCATTGTTCTGAAACTCATTGCTCCGAAGCTCATTGCTCTGAAACTCATTGCTCTGAAACTCAGTGCTTTGAAACCCATTGCCCGAGAACTTTCTCAAAGGCTCATTGCTCTGAAACTCTCACTCTGAAAGCTCACAGCATTCTGATAAGATGCATGCCAAGGAGCTCTGTTCCTCGTCCTCCTCATTCTCCCCTCTCCTCCTCCTCTTCCTCCTCCTCCTCCTCCTCCTCCTCCGATACTTCGATTAGTATGTATTGCAAACCTTCCTGCGAAAAAAAATCGAATTTCCTTTCGCGTGGAGGGTAGCCACGAAGGCATTGTCCGATGTGAGAAATAACCGTCCACCATTATTCAGTACGGCGCGCACCAGTGGGAAACTAATTCCTCCTCCTCGTCATCCTCCTCCTCCTCCCCCCTCCTCCTCCTCCTCCTCTTCCTCCTCCTCAGTTACTCCTCCTCCTCCTCATCCTCCTTGTCCTCCTCCTACTCCTACTCCTTCTTCTTCTCCTACTACACCACCTTCTCCTTCTCCTTCTCTTCCTTCTTCCCCTCCTCGCCCGATGCATCGATTCGTATTGCAAGCCTTCCTACGAACAAGCTCGAAATTCCTTTCGCGTGGAGGGTAGCCCGGGAGGCACTGTTTGATGGGAGGAATAACCGTCCATCAGTATTCAGCACGGCGCGCAGTAGCGGGAAACACATTATTCCTCCTGATCTTCTTCATCCTCCTCCTCATCATCCTCCTTCCCCCTCCTCACCCTTCTCCTCCTCCTCCTTAATTCCTCCTCCTTCTCATCCTCGTCCTCCTCCTACTCCTCCACCTTCTCCTTCTCCTTCTCTTCCTTCTTCCCCTCCTCCTCCGATGCATCGATTCGTATTGCAAGCCTTCCTACGAACAAGTTCGAAATTCCTTTCGCGTGGATGGTAGCCCAGGAGGCACTGTTTGATGGGAGGAATAACCGTCCACCAGTATTCAGCACGGCGCGCAGTAGTGGGAAACAAATTCATCCTCCTCCTCCTCATCATCATCATCATCATCATCATCCTCCTCCTCCTCCCCCTCCTCACCCTTCTCCTCCTCCTCCTCAATTCCTCCTCCTCCTCATCCTCATCCTACTCCTCCACCTTCTCCTTCTCCTCCTCTTCCTTCTTCCCCTCCTCCTCCGATGCATCGATTCGTATTGCGAACCTTCCTATAAACAAGCTCGGAATTTCTCTCGCGTGGAGTGTAGCCCAGGAGGCATTGTCCGATGCGAGAAAGAACCGTCCACTATTCTTCAGCCCTGCGCGCACTAGTGGGAAATAATTCCTTCTCCTCGTCTTCGTCCTCCTCCTCGTCCTTCTCCTCCTCCTCCTCCTGGTCCCTGCTTTTCTTCCTGCACCACCTCCTCCTTCTCCTCCTCCTCCTCGTCCACCTCCTCCTCCTCCTCCTTCTCCGTCTCCTCGTCCTCCTCCTCCTCCTCCTCCTCATCCTCCTCCTCCTCATCCTCCTCCCGCTGCCCCTCCTCCTCCTCCTCTTCCTCCTATGCCTCATCCATCTCTTCTGCATCCTCCTCCTCCTCCCCCCTCCCTCCTCCTCGTCCTCCTTCTCCTCCTCCTTCTCCCCCTCCTCTCAGATAAGGTAACAGGGGTGTCATTAAGCGCTTGCAAGAAAGTTTCTTGACCCTAGCAAGAGGAGGAACAGGAGGAGGAGGAGGAGGAGGGAGGGAAGAGGGAGGGCCAGTTTATTCACCGCCGAGAGTTCCGGGGGGGGGGTCAAAACTAAAGATTTCTGGTGGTTTACCTTCCCTCCTCTTCATCCTCCCTCCTTCCTCTTTTTCTCTCCTTTGTCCCTCCTTCTCCTCCCATCGAACCCGCCCTGCGGGGTCAATCCTGGCCAGCTTTTCGATCCGCGCCGCCACGGCAACAGAGGCCTCTCGAAACGTTCAGGAACAGCACAAACGACGACGACGACGACGACGACGACGACGACCGACGACGATGACGGCGACCACGACGACGACCACCACCACCACCGCCACCACGACGACGACGACGACGATGACGAAGGCGGCGGCGGCGGCGGCGACGGTAACGGCGACGGTAACGGCGACGGCGACGGCGACGGCGGCGGCGACGGCGACGGCGACGGCGACGACCCGGCGGCCCAGGCAACGGGCCGGGCGGCGGACCCGCTGCTCGACGCGCAAGCGCGACAGCCCATCGAGGGGGAGCCCGACGACGACGAGCGGCAGCCGAACCCCGTCGACAAGGCCGCTCGGCGGCGACTGCGGAGGGGATGGGTACGCCGGGGTGCGGTTTGCGATCGGCACCATTCGGGCCCAGGGAACGCATCCGTGCCACCCCGCATCCGCGAGCTTCGCGGCCCGGAGGAATCCAGACCGCGAGGGCGCGGAGGCGAACGTGCACGCCGTCCGTGGCCAGCGCTTTCGCCGTGCCGGGCTGCCTCCCCAAACCCCCGACTGCACGGTGCTGTCGCGACGTCGACCACAGGCGGTCTGGACCCGCTCCCCTGGACCGGTTTATCGCCCCGGGCCGTTTTTACGGCCCCAAGGCTTGGCAGGGGCCCCTGCAGGCCAGGTCTCGGGGGTGGCCAAGAGGGGGGTGATGGCTCGGCGGGGGAGGTATCATGGCGGGGGCCATGCTGTCTCCCCAGGTTTCATGCCCCCTCTTCTGGCTTCAATGCGTCCCCGCCCCCCCCCCCCTGAGCCGCGCACACGCCGCCAGCCATGCTTTGCGCCCCCCCCCCTCCTGCGCTCCCCCCCTCCCTCTTGGCGAGAGGCTCCACTCTTGCGCCCCCCATTTGCGCCCACCCCCCGTCTTGTGGCCCCTCTCTCAGCGGAGGGCTCCCCGGCACGATTCTCTCAGGACCCGAGGGGGGGGGACCGAGTGGCGGCCTGCTGCGTTGGTCGCGCAGGGATGGCGCAGCAGCGCTGCCGCAGCGCAGCGCCGCCGCAGAGGGGGCGGTCTTCTCAGCGCGGCACACTGGCACGGGAGAGCGGCATTGGGGGCGCGCCACCGTCAGCCACGCGCAGAGCGGGGGGGGGTAGGGGGGAGGGGGCAAGGCTTCCTGCAGGCATCGGAAGAAGTTAGCGAACACTCGTGCCGCAGTCATCTGTCGATGCCCCCCCCAATGATCAATGCTGGCAGTGGGACGAGCTGCACTTCGGCCGCAGTCTTCCCCGCGCGTGCTAACTTTGAGCTTGAGGGGGCAGGGGAGTGTCCACCAGCTGTTTCCCTCTACCGTAGCAGCACCCCTGCTTCTTAGAAGGCGCGGGCCTTGTCCAAAGATGTCAGGGCCGGCGCCTTCTGAGACGCGGCATCCTTCGGAGACGCCTTCCCCCCTGCCCCTACCCCCTTGTGCGCGCCGCCCAGGGGCGCGCCACCTTCCCCTGCATCGACCAGGGCCTCCGTCTGCCGAGTGCCCAGACATCCGTCGATAACCACAAAGGGTACGGTCACGCCGGGCTGTGCTTGGCGGTCGGCACCGTTGGGGCCTGGGGAGCAAGACACCGTCCTCGTCGGGCCTCCTCGGGGCGCGGCGGAGAGCTCTGTCGAGGTCTTCGCCCGCCCCAGAGGGTACCCCCAGGGTGCCGGTTGCAAACCACGCCCTTTGCAAACCACACCCTTCGGAGTCGCCGAGCTCGGCAGACGCGCGCTGCCGGACGGCCTGGCGGTTACCAGCCTGAAGCGTTTCGCTAGGACCCTTCAAAACAATTTTGACAGGAGGTGTTTCACCTTTTTTGGCCTTTGGGGGCCCTCGCTAGACCTCAGGACCGTCGATACACGACTCGTAATGAAAAACCGGTCCCAGGGAATGGGTCCAGACTGCTGGGGGTCGACGTCATGACAAAATCAGGACGTCGGGGGTCTGGAAATTACGGAAAGAATGGGTACAAAGGCCGCCAGCAAGTCCTGTTCATTTTGAAAAGGGCTTGATGTCGGTGTCGCCGCGGACGTTGTACATTTGAGGCAGAAGACCGACTGCCCGACAGCGGCCGCTGTCGGTTTTGGACGCATTTGTTGTTGGGCATCGTACCCATGTTTTCCGTACCCATTCCGGGCGTCCAAACGAAACGTATCCTTCAGATTTTGTTTTCTTCACCCTCTGGCGCATAACGGCCGTGACCCGGGCCAGACCCACCCCCCAACCCTCCCGGACAGCAGTAACGAGCAACGAGCGCGCGCAGGCGGGACGGCTTGGACTCACTCTCCACAAATGACAGCGCTCGCGCAAATATTGTGGCGATCGCAGCGCACCCCCGCCCCGAAAAGAAAAAACATAATTCCTTCACTCTCTGAGGGCTCATCTCTTAGACTGTCATCGCCTTCGGGCTTGTCGATCTTAGTGGTGGCGGACAGGGATGAGCTCGAGGCTGGTGAGGCGGAGGCGGAGACCGCTGGCCGCTCAGGCCCTCGTCGGTCCTGCGATGCGGTCCTGGCCATCTCAGACGCGGGCGAGTTGAGACGACGGTCTGAGGTGTTCGGCCGTTCTCGTCGGCTCGCGGCCTTCTTCGAGCCTCGGGATGCCTCCCAGCAGCGGCTGCGCCTCGCCGAAAGCGATCCGGGGGCTGCCCGGCTCGTCCCGAACGGCCGCTGGAGACCCGACGAGGAACCCACTTTGCCAGCCTGGAACATATCCCTATCCCTATGCTGGGCATCTCCTCATCACGATGCCAATCTTAGGGATTCCCTTATTTTTGAGGGCGCATCCCTAAGATTGTCATCGCTTTTTGGCGTGTCAATCTTGGGGATAGGGATCAGTTCGAGGCTGGTAACCACTCCCTGCGGGTCGAGGGAGGGCGAGTTGAGGCAGTGGTAGTGGGCCTCAGGTGGGGTGCCCTCGTCGCCACGGCCGAACGCAGCAGATTGGTGCGGCTGGGCCCTAGGAGAGGTCCGGGTCTCGCTTCGCCCCGCTCTGGTCCTCCTGGCCCAGATCTCCGACGGCACGATTGGCTCGATCCCGTTGTTGATGCCCACATCCTACGCGGGTTCTTTTTTTTTTTGGACCCCCCGCGCAGGAGCACCCGTTCCCCTCCCATCCTCTTCTCCTTCACACTCATTACGGTCATCCTCACCATCATCATCATCGTGATCATCATCATCATCATCATCATCATCATCATCATCATCATCATCATCAGCATCAGCATCAGCATCAGCATCAGCATCATCAGCATCATCATCTGTATCATCATCATCATCATCATCACACCACCCTCGTCAGCATCATCAGCAGCATCATCACCACGATCACAATCCCATGAATGTCATCGGTCATCAGCATCATCATAATAATCATCAGCATCAGCACCATCATCAGCAGCAGCTTAGTCATCATTATCGTCAGCATCATCAAAAGCAGCATTACCATCATCATCATCATCATCATCATCATCATCATCTTCTTCATCTTCATCTTCATCTTCATCATCATCATTGGCACCATCAGGATCGTCATCATCATCGTCACCATCATCATTATCATCAGCATCATCATCACCATCATCTTCGCCATCTTCATCATCAGCATCATCATAGCATCATAGTCGTCTTCAACATCGGCATCATCTGTATCATTATCGCCGCCATGCTCGCCTGTGCACACCACCACGTACTTCTCACCATCCCATCATGAACATCGGTCACCAGCCATCGTTGCCAACCATCACCATCATCATTCACCCATTCGCTCTTCAGCATCATCATCACCATCACCATCACCATCACCATCATCATTACATGGTCGCGCACACTCGCATACCTCCTCACACGCTCACCCGTTCATCTTGAGCATGTCTCGAGCGGGAGCCTCGTCTGTGAGTGAATCGCGGGGAAGTCTCTGACGGGGGCCCCCTTCCTGTGGGGTCCTTGCCTTGATGCTGGAATTCGAACGGGTCACCCGAACCGTGTAATTGTCGTGACGTTTGGGCTCCTCAGGCCTGAAACTGGAGGAAGTCATGAAGGGGAGCTTCGCATGCAAGTGAACATTGCAGAAGTCTTCAGCGAGAGTTACTCCCTATGGGGTCCCCACCTCGACATGGGAATCCGAGCGAGTCATTCAAACCTTGTAACTGTCGTCACGTGTGGGCTCCTAAGGCTTGAATATTGAGGAAGTCTCGAGCGGGACGTTCGTTTATGAGTGAATCGCGAGGGAGTCTCGAGCGGGAGCCCCCTGTGGGATCCCACTTGCATGTTGGAACTCGAGCGGGCCATCCAACCCATGTAATTGTCATCACTGTTGGGCCTCCTTAGGCCAGAATCTTGAAAAAAAGTCTCGAGGGAGAGCCTTGTCTGTGAGTGAACCGCGAATAAGTTTCCGACGGGAGCCCTCTTTATAGAGGGCCACACCTCGATGTTTGAATCCGAGCGGTTCCCCCCAAAACACATCTCCAGTTTCGCCAGTTTGGGGCTACTCAGACCTGAAAATGTAGGAAGTCTAGTACAGGAGTTTCGTCTGTGAGTGAATCTTGGATACGTCTCTAGCGGGAGCCCCTCCCTATGGGTCCCCACTTCGATGTTGCAATCCGAGCGAATCGTCCAAACCTTGTCACTGTCATCATGGTTTGGGTTGCTCAAGCTTGAAAATGGAGGAAGCCCAGAGTGGGAGCCTCGTCTGTGAGTGAATCGCGAGGAAGTCTCGAGCGGGAGCCCCCTTCCCTATGGTACCCCCACCTGCATGTTGGAATTCGAGCGGGTCCTCTGTAACTGTCGTCATTGTTGGACTCTTCAGGCTTTCATATGGAGACTGTCTCGAGCGGGAGCCTCGTCTGAAGCGAATCGCGATGAAGTCTCGAGCGGGAGTTTCCGGAATCTTTCAGAAGGCCACAGGAAACCCCAGGAGAATTCAGGAAACCCCAGCAATCTTCTGGAGGCCCCAAAACACACCAGAAGCCCCAGGGACCCCAGAGCCCCAGGAGGCCCCAGAGCCCCAGGGCCACAGAAAAGCCACCAGAGGAGGCCCCAGAAGCCCCACGAGGCCCTTGGATTCCCCAGGAGGCTTCAGGAGGCCCCGGGAGGTCCCAGGAGTGCCGCGAGGCCCCGAGAGGCCCCAGGCGGCCCCGGGAGGACTCAGAAAGCTCCAGGAGGCCCCAGGGGGCTGCAGGAGGCAAAAGGAGATCCCAGGAGGCCCCAGGAGAACGCTGGAGGCCCAAGAAGGAGGCACGAGGAGGAGGAAAAGCAGAATGAAAAGGCGGATTGGAAAAGCAGTGTCGTGGATATGTAGTTTCCTCTGCGAGTAAGTGCCGCCTCAATCGTATGCTCCGTGGTCTGCACCCCCAGTCCAATCGAGCTGCCCCAGGTGTTGTGCTCCATATCTTAAGTGATGAGGAGCGTCAGAGGCTTCTGGATACCCAACAGCGCCCCCAGCGTGCTGTGTGGTTTCAGCGCCCACCCGATGATCTTCCAGGCAGCAGTTTAATCCCAGGACTGGAGAGGTTGAGGCAGCGGATAGCAGCACGAGAGGAGGCGGCTGGTTTTCAGGATCAGGTTTTGAGGGCTCCAGAGCAGCAGCGATCTGCTCAGGAGCCCCTTCCAGGGGATGCAGGGACAGGCCCAGGAGCCGTTTGCTCCAGAGCTTGACCTTGAAGCTGAAGAGGAGGCCGCCAGCTTCCTCCATAGATGAACAGGTTTGAGTTTTACCCTGCGGGACAAAAAAAAAAAAACAAAAACTCCTCCTCCTCCTCCTCCTCCTCCTCCTCCCTCCTCCTCCTCCTCCTCCTCCTCCTCCCTCCTCCTCCCCCATCCTCCCCCTCCTCCTCCCCCCCTGCTCCTCCTCCTGCTCTCCTCCTCCTGCTCCTCCTCCTCCCCCTCCTCCTCCTCCCCCTCCTCCTCCTCCTCCTGCTCCTCCTCCTCCTTCTCCTCCTCCTGCTCCTCCTCCTCCTCCTCCTCCTTCTCCTCCTCCTCCTTTTGATTACTTCGGTGCCCTAAGCCTTCGCGGGCGCGTGCGGGGACGCGCTGCTGCCTCGGGGGCCTCTCCCTGCGGAAGAACTCCAGGGCTCCTGTCGACTCCTCCGATTCGCATTCGGTTCGATGTCGATGTTTTCCGATTCCGATTCGGTTCTTTTCCGGATCCCGATGTGGGTTCCGATCTCGGAATGGAGGCCCATTGGCGTGCCGATCTCCGCCGATTCGATTTCTTCTGGCTCGGTTGCTGATTTTCCCGCCGATCCGATCCATGTCGATCGCCGATCCGACTATTCGATCCGATTCTGGGCCCCCCTTGCATCTCCCAAGTGAACGATGTTTCAAGTTTAGTCTTATGTTCTGCGACCCACCCACATGGCGTTGACAAAAGTGTGGCGCCTGCGGCGGGCTCACTTTGCAACGTGTGAAGAAGAAGAAGATGATAATAACAATAATAGTATTAATAAAAATAAGTATTATTATAACAGCAATAATAGTAATAGTAGTAGCAATAATAATAATAATCCTAATAATAGTAATACTAATAATAATAATAATAATACTAATAAGCGTACTAGTAAGCATACTAGTAATGATATTATCAACTGCAGAGGCTACGGTGTACAGTTGATACGCATACAAACAAAAACACACGAGAGTGTGTGTGTGTGTGTGTTCTATTTGGGTATTTGGGTATGCACACTATGTGATGGCTTTCGGCCCATCGCGCCACCGTGCCTGGGCTGTGGTTCAGAGGCCTCGTCGATGCACATAAGGGTATCTTGGGGTGTCTGCGGGGGAAGCTCGGAGGGTGCTCGGGGGCTTCTGGGGGGCCTCGTGGGGGCATCGTGGGGGCCTCTTGGGCGCCTCTCGGGGCGCCTTGAGGGGGCCTCGGGAGCCTTTGGGGTGCTCTGGGGGCCATCTTGGAGCAGAGGGCTCGAAACGCATGCAAACTCATTATACAGGCATGTTCCAAGATGCGCGCCTGCCCGTTCGCCTCTCTCTGGCGGCTGCACCCCGCAGGCGGCTGCCCCCCTGGGCGACCAGGACCAGGCCGGCGTCCAGCAGAAGGTCGCCCTTCCCCGGGGGGGACGTCGTCGGGCCTCAGAGCGGTGGGGGATGATGGATCGGCAGTGGACGGAGCTCCGTTTCGAGTGGTGTAGAAAAGCTGGAGTCGGCTGGGCGTCTGAGGTGGCCCAGCATTGTGGAGGACGACCATGGGAGAGGAAGCATGTTGCCAAATAATTTCCAGATGTCCCAAAGATTTTTGAAATATGTGTTTAATATGTTAAAAACATGTTTGAGTATCCATTGTCGTGGCATCCACAAGCCCAGCACCTGGCTCCGGCGAGCAAGAGGAAGGCGGGCGAGTTTCAGGGTTCTGGGTTCGAGGAGTTTTTTTGTTTGCCCAGTTCAGATCCCCCGGACGCCTCGCCTCCAACAAAAAATGCATTTGCATAATTGTTCGAGGGGCCGCGCGGATGTCTTGGCTCTGCGCTTGGCCCCCTCTGGCGCGCGGAGCGCGCCAGAGGCAGCACCAGAGGTATCGCCAGGGGGTTCCAGCACAGATCCCAGAAATTCGCGCGGAGCTCCGAAAGTCTATGGTTGCGGCGTTCGCGCACATGGATTCACATCGGCTTCGAGATGGCGCACTGCGCGAGCGTTCGTCACATGAGGGCGGCCTCTCGACCTGGTGGGGGCAGAGTTTTTCATGTCGCGGCTTGGCGTGGAACGTTTTTTTCCTGGGCCCCCTGACTGGGATGTTCATTCGGCAGATAGTCGGACCGAGGTATGAGATCGAGGTCGGTTCGGGGAGGGTACCCTAATGTTCTTGGTGTTTGTTGGATGTTAGTTTGCATCTTGGGGAGGGTACCCTTGGGTATTATGTGGTGTGTGTGTGTGTTTGGTCGGCGGAGGGTCTCATGTTCTTGGAGGATATAATTCGGTCCTAGGTGGACTGTACGTCTCGCGACAGATCGCAGCTCCTCGCTTTCTGGGTCTTGCTGCCTCCGCCAAGGGGAGGCTGAGCGTGGCATGTGCTCAGATCCCTCCGCGTGACTAGTGAAGAAAGTCATGACGGAGTGTTCTCAATGCTATTGCTTGCGGGATAAAGCCAGCCCAGGGGGAAAAGGGCGATCAACAGCCTGACCCCAAGAGGTCTGACAGAACGAGACCCAACAGACGAGAGGTGGGGGGGGAGTTGCGGGAAGCCCCGCCCCGGCACGCGAAAGTTGGGGGGGGTCAGCGGCCCATGGGATGCAGGTGCAGTTCCATCGCCCTCGGTTTTTGCGTCGACCTCCTCTTCTGATCCTGAGATACGCATTGCAAGACGCCTCCGACATGAGACTGAGCAGGAAACCCCTCTGAGGCTCGCGGGGTAGAGCCCCTGTCAGGTAGCCGCTGTAGTCGGCTTGCTCGCGTAGTTGTTGCCACCGCCGTCGTCGCACGTCGTCGCTCCGCTCATTCGTCTGTCGTCCTCATCCTCGCCGTCGCCGCTCGTCGTCGCCGTCGCGTGGGTGGCTGCTGTCTTTCTCTCTGCCTGGACTTCGCGCCCTTTCAGGGCGCGCAAGGCCAACCCATAGTCCTAGACTCCTCCTCCTCCTCCTCCTCCTCCTCCTCCTCCTCCTCCTCCTCCTCCTCCTCCTCCTCCTCCTCCTCTTTGTGCGGCCGCTTTCAAAGCATATCCTGGCTCTTGCGAGGCGGACCATTTCCAGACTGGGGCACCGCCGCGCCCGTGCGAAGGCCCCTTTTGTCCAGCCGCAGCCCCAGCATTTGGACGATTTGCCCGTCATCGTAACGAGCAAGATGCCGAGGAGCCATTTTTTGTTGAACGCTGCTGGTGAGGTTAGGAGGGGAAGAGGAGGGGAGGAGGAGGGAAAGGAGGAATTGGAGGAGGAGAGGGAGGGCGACGGCGACGGGGAGGAGCAGGGGCAGGGGAAGGAGGGTGCCGCCTTGTTGATAGTGCTTGCCAGCGCTGATATGTGGTGGTGGCGGGTGACGGCACCTGTTGCGTTCGTATGGTTAGTTGATGGTACCAGTTACCCGCGCTTGTTCCGTTTAATGCACAGGGTGAGTGAGGGGCAGAAAGGAGGACGAGAAGGAGGGGAACGAATTATTTCAAAAAGAGTGCAAGATATGGAGGAGCAAAGGGGCGAGGGAGTGAGAGAGGAGCGCGGAGAAGGACGGCGGCGGCGACGAGGTGAAGAAGGCAAGGCGAGAACGAGGACGTGAAGGCTTACATTCAGGCTCAAGATGGGCACGTATTTCCCCACGATGATGATAATGATGATGATGATGATGATGATGATGATGATGATGATGATGATGATGATGATGGTGATGGTGATGGTGATGGTGATGATGATGATGATGATGATGATGATGATGGTTAGGATGATGATGAAGTGAAGATGAGGATGAGGATGAGGATACGGGTGAGGATGAGGATGATGATGAGGATGAGGACGATGACTATGATGGTGATGATGATGGTGATGATGATGGTGGTGGTGATGATGATGGTGATGGTGACGGTGATGGTGATTGCGATGGTCATGGTCATGGCCATGGTCATGGTGATGGTGGTGGCGGTGGCGGTGGCGGTGGTGATGGCGGTGACGATGATGGTGATGACGATGATGATGATGATGTTGTTGGTGATGATGATGCTGATGATGGCGTTGATGATTATGCTGGTGATGATGATGGTGATGATGATGATGATGATGATGGTGGGGATGATGGTTATGATGAGGCCGACGATGATGGTGATGATGGTCATGATGATAATGCTGATGCTGCTGCTGATGATGGTGATGATGATGATGGTTATGGTGATGGTGATGAGGGTGATGGTGGTGGTGATGGCTATGAGTAGCATGGTGATGATGATGGTGATTGCGATAGTCATGGTCATGGTGATGGTGATGATGCTGATGCTGATGCTGATGGTGAAAGGCGAATGTCGCCGTGGCGACGAGGGCCGCCAGGGAGATCCCAAACAACGAAAAGCATCAGCCACGTCCTCCCTCATCTTCCCCTCCTCCTGCCTCACGGAGGCCAGCAGCTCCCGCAAGCAAGCCCCGCCTCCTCTACCTCATCATCGTCCTCTTCCTCGTGCTCATCCTCCTCCTCTTCGACCTCCTCCTTCTCCTCCTCCTGCTCCTCCTCTTCCTCCTCCTCCCCCTCCTCCTCCTCATCCTCATCCCTCCGTAGCCATTTTGGCTCAAGATGGTGAGTTCCTCAGTGGGACAAGTGGACACCGCTAGTCCGCGGCAGACAAGGCCACCTGTGGCCTGGCAGGCTTCAACCACACCGACGTCCGCCACCACGGGTAAACGGAGGCCTTTCCCGTTCTTGTGGCCGCGAGCGTCCCAGGTTTCTTCCTCGCCATGTCGGAGAAGGGAGGCTCACCTGCAGCGATGCCACTGCGCAGCAAAGGGATCCCGAAGCGTCCTCATCCTGGCGAGCCTGGTGGTGATCCTGGCGGCAGGGCTGACCGCCCCCGATCGCCGCCACAAGGAGATGAAGCAGATTTGGATGCCTACGCCACCATGTCCTACGTGCAGTCCCTCCAGTCGAAGATCGACGCGATGGAGACCTCAATCAAAGAGTCCATCAATGCGACTGTCACCACCGTGGTCAGCACCGCGACCAACCCCATCTCGCTTGCGCTCAAGGCCGCCCAGGACGGCATCGACGGGTTGGGCGCCAAGATCGAGAAGAACGTCCACCTCGCCGTCGACCAGCAGATCGACTCCACGAGGAAGCACTTCCAGCAACAGCTCGACGCCTTCAACATCCGCGTTGGCGAGGTGGAGGCCAAACAGGAGAAGACCGACAAAGCCATCGAGCTCATGGCGGCGCAGATCAAGGTATTGCAACGAGAGCTCGCCACGGCCAACCAGCAACCGATCAAACAGCAGTTCATCAGCCGCGACTTCGACCGCGAGACCGACGCCACTATCATCAAGGTCCATGCCGACGGCCTCGTCACCCTGGCCAAGGCTTCCGAGTCCCTCACCAAGTTCGTGGTGGGCTGCGACATTCGAGAGACTGACTTCACTGTCACTGGCAACGACACTGCCAAGTTCTTCACCATCAAGTTCACGGGCCTTCCTGGCCCCGCCAGCCGCCGAGTGCAGAAGATTCTGGACAGCTTGCGCTCGTCCAACGGCACCTGGGCGCGCATCTACGCCGACGCTGTCTCGGGCCACGGGGCGGTCGAGCTGCGGATGGGCCCCGACAAGTCGCCGAAGCAGATCAAGACGGATATCGTGGGGAAGCGCCTCCGCCCGGCCATGGAACGCGAGTTCCCGACCCATGTCTGGCGCGCGGACCGCGCCAAGGCCTGGATCACTGCAGGCTGGGCCCCCGTTATCGCGCACAGCGTCCGCCCAGGCAGGGGCGAGCCGACCGCCCTCACGTTCCAGGACACCAGCCCCCCCGCGCTGGGCATCGACCGCACGACCCTCAAGAACGCCACCAGCGCTGACGTCGCACCTGAAGCCGCCCCCCAATTTTGGCTTTGACGAGCTGGCACGCAGCCAGAACCGTCTCGCCGATGGGCCGTCGCCCTGCCTGGCCGTCGGCACATGGAACGCCCGCGCTCTCTTGGGCTACCAGGGCAGACGTGTCGTCGAGAAGTCCTCGTACCTCAAGTCCATGCCGCTGCGCAAGATGGTCTTGGGCATCCAGGAGGTTCACCAGAACCACGGCCAGCTCCTCGCCTTCATGCGGAAGATCGACAGCACTCTTGACATGCACTCCTCCTTCGCTCCTGGATATCATGGCACTATCAGTGGCGGGGTTGCCACTGTGTTCCCAGCTGGGATGAATGCCGTGAGCGGCCCCATCTCTCCTGGCCGTGTTCTTCGCTCTGTCTTCCGTGTTGGCGACCAAGTGGTGATCTTCTACACTATCCACAACTACGACCTCAGCAACGCCACCATCCAGAACATCACCACGCACATCAACAGCGACCTGCAGTGGGCGAGGTCCGACCCGAGCCGCATTGTCACGTTCGTCACTGGGGAGTTCAACTTCTCCGCCGTCGGGAAGCTGAAGCTCCTGGACCCTGTGGCAAAGGGCAACTCGAACCCAACTGAAACGTCCAAAGCATCGGTGCGCAAGTGGCACAACGCTCTGAAGCACATAGTGGAGATCGACAGCGCCGACACCACGCACTACTGCTCCGAGACGAAGGCTGAGACCACCATCGACAGATGTTTCTGCTCGTTCACACCTACACAGATGCTTCAGCTGGCTGTTACGTCCACCACCTTTTCCACACCTGAGGATCTCTCACGCCGTCGTGTCAGTGACCATGCCGCCCTCTTCGTCTCCTTGACGATGCGCGATGCCAAACCCTCGCCGAACCAGCCGATCGCCCAGTACATCGTCAAGTCCCCCGTATTCAAAGAGATTGCCGACAAAATGATCGCCGCCTCCCCCGTGGACAACCTGTCCCCGCCGACCAAGCTGATTCAGACCACCGACCTGCTCAGACAAATCGCACGTGAAGCTCGTGACCGTCTTCATGAAATGCACCCGAGCAGAGGCGACGTGCCCTTCCAAGTAGCGAAGTCGATCTCACGCGCTGTGTGGCGCCAAGACCGATAACTCGCTGCTCGCCTCCTTCGCTCGCACCAAGTCGCGCAAGAACACGTCCAGATCAACGGTGACAGCGTTGAGCTCATCGACCATGCAAAGTTCGAGGAGTGGGCAAGCAACCTCTTCCGCCAAGATGCTGAACAGCGCCAAGCAGCCATCGACCAAGCAGTTCAACGTGGGCGCCTCCGACCCGCTCAAGCACGTGGACAAACCCAAGCCCTGCAACGGAAGGTCCAGCTCTGGAACCCGCTCAGCAAGCGACTGGCCCTGACGGGGGTCAAGACCAGCGAGGGCACCGTGACGGGCCCCAACGAGCGACTCAAGAAGCTTGTCGAGCACTGGCAGCCCGTCTTCGAGGGCAAGACTGTCGACGTGACCAAGGCCGCCGTCTACCTGAACCAGTTCTCGCCCACCATCGATTTCTCCAAGTACAGGCCGCCAGACTACGAGACGCTCAAGAAGTTTGCCAGGCGCTCGTCTTCCACTTCGCCAGGCCTTGACGGTCTGCCGTACCTCGCCTGGCCCGCGCACGAGAAGTGCACCGAGGTTCTCTGGGATGTCATGTGTTACATGCTCAACGGCGGGATCCTCCCCGATGAAGTGAATGCGACCGTCCAAGCCTTCCTGCCTAAAGGTGAGGAACCAGAGGACTCGGAACATCACGGCTGCCATCGAGACCCGCCCAAAGTCCGTGTCCTGGGTTTGCGCAACACGTCCCTCAAGATAATCAGCAGCACGATGAATGCTGCGACGGCAACGGTGGCAGCCGAGGTAGTCCCAGCCTCACAGCGCGGGTTCATCCACCGGCGTAACTTCGGCTACAACATCTTCGAGCTAGACGCCGAGATCCGCATCGCCTCGGCCGACCCAGATGCCCAGGACATGCTGCCTGTGCTGGTGTCGCTGGACATCGCGCAGGCCTTCCCCAGCTTCGCCCACCAGTTCATCCGTCTGGCGCTCAAGGCCATGGGCGCTCCTGAAGCGGTCCTCGTGGTTTTCGACTCCATGTACAACAACACCCTCGCGATGGCCCCGTGCGCTGGCCAGTACGTCCCGCTCTTCTACATCAGGTCGGGCATCATCCAGGGATGCGGCTGGGGCGGCACACTGTACGCGCTGGGCACTGCATGCTTCCTCCTCAACCTCGAGACCGTCCTCGAAGCCCAAGGCCGTGGACTTTGTCGGGCATGCGCTGATGACCTCGGGCTCGTCCTTCGGGCCGCTGCCTACCTCGTCTACCTCGCCGACGTCATGCTCTGCATGGAAATTCTGGCTGGTCTTGAGCTGAAGGCGCCGAAGTGCCGCATCATTCCCTTGGCGGGCCAGGTCAACGCCGACCTCATCCTCAAGCTCAAGAACGCGCTGCTCACCATCGCCCCGAAGTTCAAGGACTTCAACATATGCGACCGCCTCGCCTATCTCGGCCTCTTGCTGGGCCCTGGTGCCACGGACCAGCTCATCTTCGCGAAGGCCTTCAACAAGTACCGCTCCCGAGTCATGGCGTACAGCGCGAGCGATGCGCCTGCCGTCGGGTCAGTCTCCCTGTGCAGCGGGCGCGCGCTCCCCGCCCTCGGCTACCTGGCCCAGTACGCCTTGCTCCCGCGCGAGCACTTCAAGCACGAGAGCTGGATCAATGCCTCCATCCTGCGCATCCCGAACGGCGCCTTCAGGCTGAAGGACTGGCCCTTCCTGAAGGACTGGGGAGTTCCCGCGCCGAGGTCGCTCCAGCTCAGCATGCTGGCGACGATCGTCCGCGCGGAGACTTCGACATTGAAGAAGTTCACCGAGATCCGTGAGAGGCTGCACGAAGGCTTGAACTCCTACGGCCTCCAGCAGACCCTCGGGGGTGCCGCGCGGGGCGCCCTCCATCTCTCACCGCCGTGGTGGAAGACGCAGGCCTTCGTGGAGACGATGCACCAGATTGCGTCGGCCACCTCTGACCACGTGTACTACCCCCACCAGCTCGCGGCGCCAGCGGTCGAGGCCGCGCGGGCGGCTGTCGCCAACGAGAAGCCTGGCCTCGCGCAGAAGCACGCCTTCGCCTCGGCCCTGGCCACCCGCGGGTCCGACGGCATCGGGCCTTTCCTGCAGGACCGCATCGTGAAGGAGCCCCCGCACGCTGGCGAGCTCTCCATCCACCGCCCTTCCATCATGCACGACATCCAGACCGCCATGAAAAGATTGCCCCCATCGTGGGCGACAGCGTGGATGAGGACGCTGTCCTTCTCATGGCTCACATCCTTCCGCATCGCCTACCCGAGCGGCAGGCGCCAGTGCATCTTCGGCTGTGCCAACAGCCACGACAAGATGCGCCACTATCTGATCTGCGCGCCGCTGGCGCAGGCTGTGGGACGGGCGTGCGGCGCGCCCCCCCTCGCCACTGAGTTCGCGAAGCTTGGCCTCACCGACCAGTCCAACGAGAACGCGGAGGCCATTGCCGTCGCCTGCCTCGCGCACCATGCACTCAGGCAGGAGACCCACGTCTCAGCGGAGACCACCCTGACGGCCGCCAAGGCAGCGTTGAGGGCCACGAGGACCATGAAGAAGCCGCCGATCGTGCTTCGTCCCCACCATCGCCATCGACGGGTGGATCGGCATTGCTGGGTGGAGAAGCCAGGCGTAATGGCGCCGCTCTCCGCGGGCGGCAGCTCGGGCAGCGCGCCCGCGGGCCAGGCGGCCCCGGCGCCGCAGGGAGACGAGCCGGCACCACAGCAGGGCAAAACCGACCATTTTCAGTCAAAAGTGGTAGGTTTCCGTGGGGCGCCACTCCGAGGTGACCGAGCGGTACAGGGAGATCTTCAGCCTACAGGAGCACACGCGCCACCGGCAGGAGTTGACTACGTCGAGCAGGACCCACTTCGGCTCCGTGGAGCCGCCGCTGATCACGATCAGCTTCCAGTACACGTACGAGGAGATGTTCTGCACGCTCCTCCTGGCGCGCCACCTGTGAGCAGGTAAGCGCGGGCGCGGGGGCTGCTGGCGCCGCGCGGGGCGCGGCCGTCGGGAGCCTGGAGCCTCCCCCTCCGCACGCTCGACTCCTCCTCCTCATCCTCATCCTCATCCTCCTCCTCCGCCTCCTCCTCCTCATTCTGCCTGTTCGGTGCCCCGTGACTGGGGGAAGGAATCGGCAAGGAACTGTTTTTGCCTCCAAGTCCAAGGCGGTGTCTCCTGCGCTGGCAACATATGCCTCGTGTGGGGTGCCTCATGGAGCTGCAGGCCGGCCTGGCCAGGTCCGTGGCGACCCAGGAATGGCCGCCAGGAGCACTGGACAGGCGCAACCCCGAGGAGGCGAGTTTTTACAAGCTCCCAGTGAGGCGCCTCCACAGAGGCATAGGTGAAACACGCGTATGATGATGAGTGGTGGCTGGGACCGCCACGCCACTCGAAGCTGTAGACACGGCGCGTAACAGCTGATCGCACCGTTCTGAATCTGAGAAACGAGCGTAAAATGCTCGCATGGTTTCAGGGGCCGACCAGCCGCCCTGAGCCTGCACCAACTCTTCCGGCAAGCAGCACACTGTCTTGTACCAGTGGGCACCGCCTTTTCGCAGTGAGTGTGTCCCCACTGCGGCGGTCTGAAAGAACTGCGAAAGATTTCGGCGGAAGGAGTCGCAATTCATGGGGCGGGGTTCCGCCAAATGAGTCGTGCAAAACACGGGCGCATCCGGGTCGGAACCCCAGCGTGAGTCCCGCTGCACCAGCCAATCCCGCAGGACGCGGCATGGGCAAAAGCTGGGGGTGTCGACCATCTTTGGGATGTGGCACACCATGCCATGTCCGAAAGGGTCGTTCTTTTGCCGGGCGACAGAAATAGACACGAAATTGTCGTGCAAAGATATGTCTCGACGCCGGAGCGCGAGAGTCTCGGAACACCTCCGGACGCCGAAGAAAGACACGGCTGCTATAGCGACGTCCCGGATAGCGGCCAGGCTGCCTGCTTTGAGGCGTGCGGTCTGGTAACACCGCACTTCTTCGAGAGATACCGGGCGTTTTGCGTGTGACCGTGAATGGTCGGCCCGCTTCTTCAGACCTCTCCAGAATTGGGCCGACCGGTCCGTCCATGCACTGTCAAATTGCGATGTCAAGTTGCGCTGCTGGTGCCAACACCGCACTGCAGCGCGCAGATTCGTAACGGATGACCAGGACCGGCCGTCCATCTGGGCAAACAACAGCATGAATTTCACGTCTGAGTCGCACGGCAAAAGTTGCAGCCCTGAGGAATTCTCGAAAGAATCTACGGCAGTACGCAGGGAGCTGCTATACCGTTTTTTTGTGCTCTCCTCGAGGGCTGCTTGGAGGCAGCAGTGAATTGCTGATATGGCCCTGCTGCGATGTGCCCCCTGTTCCACAGAGGTGCTCTCGCGAATTAAAGACAAGAGGTCGGGGCCCTCACTCAGAAGCTGGCGCGCGCCTGGTGCGTCCAACGGCGGGGCTCGAAGCGGTTCGTGTTGCAGCGCGGGGGCCCCAACAGCCCCGTTTGACGCGCTAGGGCGCCAGCGTGCGTCGCCGGGGCGGGTCTCCCCCGGGGGCACCGCGGATGCTTGCGACGGTGCAGCGCGAGGCCCGTCGGAAGACGCTCTGTCGGCCGCCGGCCTGGGGCGATCGAAATCGTCGCGGTGCAAACAGGCGGGGCCGAGGCGCTGGCGGCGCGCGGGTTTTGGCGATCCTGGGCCGCGCTTCATCTCGAGCCCCAAAGGCTTTGGGTCGCGGCGGCCATTCCCTGTCGACCAACAGGCTGGGGGGGGGGCGGCGACGAAGGTGTGTTCTACCCCCCGCCAGGGGGCAAAAAGTGCACCAATCGTACGTTTTTTGGTACGTTTTCTTGGCGGTCGGGGGCCGCCCGGGCCCTGCCGTGCGCGGCCCCCGGGGATATTGTGGCCACGGCAATACTCATGGGCAACGGTGCGCGGATCCGGTAAACCACGCGCGACGAGGAAGTGTTTCTCTTCCCTGCCAGAGCGGCGAAAAAGTTAAGCAATCGTACGTTTTTTACACAGAACTGTGTTGAATGAGGCCGCCAGGGCCGCGGCCCCGGTCCCTGGTGATTTCTCTGCCCCCCAACAGTAACTAATGCGTATGGCGCGTGTACCCGGTGACCGCCGACCCGCGCCCGCCGACGATCCCTGGGCGGGATTGCGTAGGAAAGGGGAGGGGCGGAGCGGGAGGGGCGAAAGCGAGGGGCAGGCGAGGGACAGAGAAAGCAGGGTGAGGGGGGGAGCATGCGGTGATGCGACGACTGGCGCTCTTTTTTTTCAAGGGCACCGGGCGCGGCCTCGGACTGGGTCGCGGGGGCTGGCCCGGGGCGCGCGCCTGCTTGAAACGCAGGCACGCGGCGGAAGAAAAGAAAGGACATGCGCCGTGGACGGCCTGGCAGGGACTCTGCCGGCAGGCGCAATTAAAACTCTCGCCCCGGACAATGGCGCTGAAAAAAAGAAACGCATGTGCAGAACCATACGCGCACCCAGCGGAGCGTCCATTGACCGGGGGCTGGCGCCGACTCGCGTGCGTCAGCGGCTGTAGGGGCAGTCCGCCGCCCAGTGCTTGACGTCCTGGGTCCTGCCTGCCCCCTTGCACTTTGGGCAAGTGAGCACGCAGCGGTTGCCGAGGGACTTGCACGTCGTGAAATTATGCTTCACCGCTCCACGGTTCGTGCACAAGCAATTGCGGCACACCTCGGACATGAGTGCCTTGACTGCTGCCGGGTTGGCTTCGGCCTTTTCCGAAAGCCAACCTTCGATTTTAGGGACTTCAGGGTTCTTAATGGCAAAAACGTGCAGCTCGAAGAATAGAGCGTCAGCTTCTTTCTTCTTGGCGGCTCGTTTGGAAGACTCGACTGCGGCTGGGGACGGCGACCTCTCCCGCTTGGCGAAACCCGAAGCCCGGCTGGACCTGCCCTGCTCCGGGGCCTGCGCCTGTGAGCCCCCGGACACTTGCCCAGAGGCGCCGGCGCCGGCGCTGCCCGAGGAACCGGTCGCAGCTTTCGCCCCCAAGGCCACAGACCCCAGGATTAGATCGATTCCGAAGTCACGGAGCAACAGCTCGCTGTCCAGCGCTACCGCGGCCGATGGCTCGATGCATCGCCGCTTGAAGCTCTTGATGCATTCGTATACGTACGGCATCAAGGCCAGTTTCTGGGCAGCGTGTTTCGCCGGCGCCGTCTTCTTCTTGCTTGCAAGGACCGTCGCGCGCTTCTCGATTAAATGGTAGAGAGCCAAAATGGCCCGGGCCAAGGCGCGAACGGCATGGTCGCTACTCTCTGCGCGCTCGCCCAAGTACACTTGCAGCCGGTCGGGTCCCCCGCCCTGCTCGGGGAAGCACAGTTGCTTCCAAGTGGTCCGGGCCGCGTGGCGCAGGGCTGCGCTGCTCTTCAGCGCGGACAACTCCGAATTAGCTGGGTGTGCGGCATGCAAAGCGTAAATGGTGGCCATGGGATCTTTCGGGTCAGCGAGGGACTCAGTGACAGACTCCTCTAACTGGTCGGTGTCCACCATGATCGCAAACCACGCCCGCCTGACCTGGTCGGGGCCAAGGTCGCGCAACACTTTACGGAACGGAAACTCCGCGTCTGCCTGGGCCTGGAACTCCGGGATCCGGGTTGCCCTCAAGAGGCCCTCCGTGACGGCGCTGCTCGCAGCGACGCCGATGGTTCCGTCGGCGGCGACCTCCTTGGTGATGCTGGCGAGCACCGCTGCGTGGATGGGACCTGACGGGGCGCAAGCTGCCGCAATCGCCTCGTCAATGAGGGCCTTGACGCGGCCCTCGCTGACTGGAGACCCCATCCCCGCGACAGTGGTGGTGTTCAATCGGCAGATCCGCTGATGGACCAGCTGAACCGAAATGCGGCAAATAAGAACGTCCCTGAGCATCCGCGAAGCATGGGCGGTCTGGGGAGCAAGGGGTGGACATGTGAAGAAACGAGAAATCGAAAATGTGGGATGTCCCAGCCATCGACAGTCATAAAATCCCAGCAATGCACCCCAATAGCGGACAGGAGCGGGGGGCCATATTGGGGGGGTGGAGGGATTGGGGAAGCATGTGCAATGCAATGTTTATTTCTGTAGGTGCGAAAGACCACAGGTAGCTCTGTCAGCGCTTGCGCTTCCGGCGGTTCGGAAGCCAGCTTTGAAGCACGATGTATGGAAGATCCGACGCTGGGCCTTTCGACAAGCCGCGATCGGACGGCCATCGGAAAAGGTCGGACCCGGCGGGCCACGATCTGATTCTGTGCCACTTGGATAGCAACGACGGACGGAACCATGGGGCTCCCGGGTCGTCAGGGCACAGGATGACAACGCGCAGGTCTGCGTTGACAGCAATGGCGGCATTCAAAAATTGAAAAGTCTCCTTGAGCAGCGCGCGCGGTGGGTGTGCCCACACCGCGTGGCCGCGCAGCTCGGCCTCGAAAGCGGAAAGTTCTGGAAAACGCCACTCGTGGGTGAGAGCCGTCATGCCGAGTCGATCTGCGAACAAGTCCAGCGTGAACTGAACGCCGCATCTGGATTCGACCTCTTGAAACAAGGTCTTGCGAAGTGCGGCGTCCCTGTACTGATCCTCGCGCCAGGAACGCGCGAAGTCCAGTGACCGGGATCCCGCGTCTGCAATGACGTTGCTCTTGCCAGGGATGTGCAACGCTAGAGCCCAACATTGAGCTGCCCGCTCGGCGCTTTCAAAACGATGCGCCAGAGACTCGAGGGAAGGTATCCGCCCGTAGCGCACATTAACGTAATGCACGGCAGCGGAATTGTCGAGCCTGAACAAAACTCGCCAACCCTTTAAGCAAGAGGACTCCCTGAGAAGGCACTGAACTGCAACCCACAACTCCTTGTAATTGATTTCCAAGGAATTGGGCTGCGCCTCCCGGGATTCGAAGTTGTCAGGCCACGTATCGGCGACAACGCGGCTGTCCCAACACAGATGGTATGACCACCCGTGCATTTTGGAGGCGTCGCACTCCACGACCCGGATTGCGCCTTTGCGGGCAAGGTTCGCCCAATCAGCGAATTCGGGAGATTTGTGGCCCCACATGCTGAGAGGGCCGCCGTCACAATGCAAGGAACGCACCGGGGGCGTACATAAGGCCGAGCAGATGTGCGCCAGGGCCGCGCGACTGAGATCTGAGAGAGTCACCGGGGGGTCGGCCAAGGGGCTGGCACGCCACGCCGAATACACCCCCGACGCATTAAAATCTGCCCAAAGAGGGTGCAGCCGGCGCCGCAACTGCGGAAGGAGCTCCGCGATGTGCGAAGCCAAACCTACTGCCGATGCTAAGTGTTTGCTGCGGAGCGTGCGGTGTTGGTCTGCCTCGAGAACGGCAGCGCACAATTCGCGACAGCGGTCAGTCTTTTCAGGCGGCACGGTGATAATGCATTCGACGGTATCGAACACCCAGCCGATCCAGGTTTGTCGGCGCGCAGGTGCTCGGATGCCGCTGGGTTTGGCACTGATTGGGATGCCACACCGCAACAGGAAGCGGACAGCTCGACACAGGTTTTGCCAAGCCGTGGGTTCATCCGGCGCCGCGCCTAACAAGTCGTCAACGAAGTCTAAAAGGTCAACTTCGGTACGTAAGCGGAGGATTCTTAAAATCTCCTTCACATTGGCGTCGTTGATGCCAGGCGCGGGCCTGAGGCCGAATGGTAAATAATTGTATTTCCCGAACTGGCGTCTGCCAGGGGAATAGAAGCCGAGGGCGTACGAGTCGGCGTCGGAAACACGCCAATTAAAAAAACAATCGCGCAGGTCGAGGACGAACAACCAGGAACCCGCGGACATGCGGGCCGCAGCCTGATCCAGCGTGCCGTACGCGACGTCGGCGTTTGGCAAGCACTCGTTGACGCCCCCCCGCCGCAAATCGACGATTAAACGCGCTTTGAAGCGCTCAGATTCGTCGGCCTCGGCGTCCGCCCCGGGGCGCGGCTTCAGGATTAAGCCGCACGGGTTGACGTTGAGGTGTTTGGGCGGAGGGGCATCAGCCGGGAAGAAGGAAACTTTCCCCGACTCAGCCAGGCGGTCCCATTCGCGTTCGGCCCACGCGAGCTGGGACGTGACGGAAGGATGGTTGCGCACCTGCCTCGGGACGACAGGCGACGCCCCGAGAGAGTGCCCGTGCCGCCAGGAATGCAGCAGGGCGGGGTCCGCGCCATTCGCGGACAGGAAATCGAAGCGCAGGTGAAGGCCAGGTACGCCCTCCCATTCCTGTAGAGCGGAATTTCCGTCTCGGACCTCCGCTAAGAGAGCGTCCATCGTCGGCCCGTGTTGCTTGAGCCAGCGCTGCGAGGAATTATGCGGTAGATGTTTATGGGGGGGGGGAAGGGAGGAAGGAAGGGCGGCAGTGTATGCAGGGGGAAAAGGAGAGGGAGGGGCAAGGATGGGATCCGAAGCGCGATTGTCTTCAAGGCACTATACGTGCCGTGCCCCTTTCTCTTCCGACGGGAATCATGACACGCTGGCGAGGTGCGGAGGATGGAACCCTCAGTTGCGGGTGCCACCAGGATGCTTGCCACCAGGACGCTTGCCACCAGTATTGCCTGCCCCGAGCGCGGATGACACAGAGCTCATATTCCGACAAGGCTCGCAGGCCTCGCCCTCGCCGTTCTCCTCCACCTCCTCATCCTCGTCTCCTGAATGGGAGGGGGCAGCCAGGGGCAAGGAGAGGCAGCCATGTGTGTGTGTGCGTGTCAGGATAGAAGAAGGGCGAGGACGCAGCGCGGAAGAGACCGACTGTCGCTCGCCGTGTCTGTCAGAGTCTGGCAGAGATGGCCGCCTCTAGGTCTATTGCATGTTGTGCCCCTCATTGAAGCCCCAGCGGGGGAGGGGGGAGTGAAGGGAAACAGGATGGAAGGAAGAAGTGAGAATGGATAAAGAAATCAGCAGAAAGGGGAAGACGAAGGAATACTGGATGAAGTGAGATGTGGTGCAGCCAGGACCGCTGATCAGCCGCCTCGGACCGACGGGTGATTGTTCAAAAGGAGTGGCGAAGTGCCAGGACACGAGTGGCGCGGCGTGAGCTGTCGCGAAGGTGCCGCGGACACGCCCGAAGGGAACTCGGGATGTTAGGTGAGACGTGTTGCAGCTAGCACCGCTGACCACAGCCGAACAGCTGACAGGAGAAATGAGCGCCGACCAGATGTGTCGACGAGTAGCTGGCAACGGAGAGATTTGGCAGCTAGGACAGCTGACAGGAGAAGAGCCCGTCGACCAGGGGCCTCGACGGGCAGCCGGCGGCAGCGCGGGGACGGCTAGACCCCGACCCTTGGAACAGGGCGCCTGCGCGCGAGCCGAATCCAGCAAAACGCACGAGGGGCCCGAAAGGGAGACGAACCGAATCCCGCGAACCCGCAGAAGCCCCTTTCCCGAGCGCACAGCCCCCTAAGAAAGGACGCCTCCTCCTCCTACCTGGGGGTCGATGGCATCCCTCTCCCCAAGCTGGGCTTTCTGCGTGCAGCGTGAGCCCGCAAGCAGCGCTGGCGGAGCGCGGATGTGGCCCGCCAGGCCACGCCGCCTGCGCGGCCTGGCATCACGCCTTTGGGGGCCTTGGCGGAGCGACAGGGGCCTCGGAGGAGGAGGAGGGTCCCCTTCTTCTGATGCTTCTCTCATCCCTGTCTCTGCCACTCTTCTTTATAACGCTATCCACGGTCCACAGTAAGCGTGTATCCGCAGACATCGCGGCAGACGAACGTCAAGCCAAGGCGATCGCAGCTACGGTCCGATTTCAGTTGCAGAGGTAGGCGGAACGAACTCGTGGTGCGCAGCCACGTGCCAGGAGGAGGAGGAGTAGCAGGATGAGAGCCCCAGGTATGTTTTCTAGAGTCCCCGGCTGGCAGACCCCCCCCCCCGGGAGCAACCAACCGTTGTCTTGGACAGTCGGTCACCCCCGGGGGAACCGCCCAGTTTTTCGGGGGTGGGGGGGGTGTTCGCCGCCTCCCGATGCACGTGCGCCCGCGGAGAAGACCCGCGCGCGCGCCGCGGAGGAGGAGGAGGCGAGCTTCCCCCCCTCCCTCGAGCGCCCCCTCCAGAGATCAGGATCAGCCTGGTTTCCCTCCCTCCCTCCTACCTCTCTGTCGCTTCTCCGCGACGTCGGACCTCAGGGGGGGGGAGGGGTTCGCGGAGCCCCCGCCGCGCTCCCCAGCGCCGCAGCCCGGAGGCCCTCGCCGGCCTTCCCACCTCCCCCCCTCCGGGAGAGTGGCCGCCGCCGGCGCGCCGCTCCCCCGGGGGCCTCCTCCTCCTCCTCCGTCCTCCTCCTCCTCCTCCTCCTCCTCCTCCGTCCTCCTCCGTCCTCCTCCTCCTCCTCCTCCTCCTCCTCCTCCTCCTCCTCCTCCTCCTCCTCCTCCTCCTCCTCCTCCTCCTCCTCCTCCTCCTCCTCCGCCCCTTGGGCGCCTCTTGGGGGCCTCTTGGGGCCCCCTTGGGCCGTCTTGGGCGGCCTTGGGCTCTCTTGGAGCGCCGAAAAACGGAGGGGAGGCGCCGTCCGCCGACGGCGGCGGAGCGCGCCGGCTCCCCAAGCAGGGAGCTCCGGTAGAGCACGAGGCCCGCGCTCGCCGGCAGAGGAGGAGCGGGGCCCTGCCCGCCTCCCCGTCCCCCGCGCGGCGGGGCTCGCTCCGAACCGGGCGCGGCGTGCCGCGGGGGCCCGCCGCCGCGCCGCCGCCGCGCGGGGCCGCGCCGCGCCCGACCGCAGCGGGGGGGGGGCGCGGCGCGGTCCCTGACCGTCCAGGAGGGTTAAAAAATAGCACCCGCCTCAGAAACCTATCCCAGAGCTATTCCACGTCTTGGTTTTGGGCTGTTTCGCCCAGCTTTTTTTAGGTTTTCAGGTCTCCAGTGCTAAGAAACAGCTCTCTGGAAGGACAGGGGAAGAGGGAGGCAGGAGCGGATTTTGCTGGCGTCAGCGGGTCGGCTGCCAGGGGCGGAGTCTGCACCCCCCAATGTGTCCCCGTGGTCGTCGACTCCCCATGCGCTGTGCACTGCCCCGTTTCCCTGGCATGGGCTGCACCGGCGCCTCTGGACGCCAATGCCCTGATTCTAGCCGACCGTCCGGGGGGGAGGGGGGCTGGGGGGGGGGGGCGGCGAAGGAGTTGTTCTCCGTCGTCCCGCCATGTTGTCGCGCCTTCCTCCCCATCCCTTCTCGTGTCTGCTCCGCTTGATGTGCAGTGCTTCGATACGTACTGGTTTTGTTTTAACCTTGTCTTCGGGCCCATTGTTAGTGTCCCTGGACCCTGGGGCTACTGGAATGTCTAGACCCCCGTGGTCTTGGCTTCTTCCCTCCCCCGTTTTGGGGACCAGGGCTGGAGCTTTTACATGCTTCCCCCCCCTGTCTGTCTTCCCATCGAGAAGCTTGCGCGAATTGCCAATCCGCTCCGCTCCGAGGCGTCTCCTGGGTTGTGCGCCGAGGAGAGGCCAGGCCCTCTTCCAGCAGCGCCCGATCCCCCCCCCGAGCGCCAGGGTGGAGCCAGCCCGCCCGAGGGCTCCAGTCCCTCGTGCCAGAACAGCCACCAGATCATTGCGCACAGGGGGCCCCGGACCCCCAGCGTCGCGATCTTCTCGTTGCGAGCGGCGCAAAAAATAGCTGGGAACAGACAGTGACATAAAAATAAAGCCTCGGAGGTCCGCGCGGATTTCTCGGATCGGCGCCGGGCCCCCTGGCGGCGCCTCCGGCGCCGCCCCTGGCGCGCTCCGCGCGCCAAGGAGGGGAGGTCCAACGCCGATCCGAGAAGTCCGCGCGGACCTTTGAGTTTTGATGTTTATGTCATTGTTCATTCCCCTAGAATAGGGTGCCGTCTGCACCGACGCTGTCGCGTAGGGTGCCCGCGCAAGGTCGCGCACAAGCGCCCTCGTTCCCAATGCAGCGCCCTCCCTCCCCAGGACCAGCTTGTCGCCCCGAGTCGATCTGTTGACGGCGTCTGGGCGCGGGGAGAGCCCTTGGAGGCCGCAAGCATTCATATTGCTTCTGTAGCAAATATGTTGTCAACGCGAGGGGGATCTAAGGAGGAGGAGGAGGAGGAATGAGAATCTCCCGCAGGAAGAGGATGAGGAGGAGAAGTGGAAGGAAAAGCAGAACGGGAAGGAGGAGGAAGAGGAGCAGAAAGGGAACGAAGGAGAGGAGGAACTCCCAGCTGGCACCGGCACCAGACTCCAGCCCTGGCCCCACAGGAAGTCGATGAGCCAGGTCGGGGCCATGTTACATGGCGGTGGCGTGATGGGCGAGGACGGCATTGCGCCCCCCCGTGCGCAGGGAAGGGAGGGCTTTTCTTGTTTTTCTCTTTCACCCGATTGCCGCCTCAGCCGTCCTAGCCTCGCGGATCCCTCCCGTCGGATTGGAACAGATTTTCTGGCTTCGAAGTTATACGACTGTGAATCGCCAGTGATTCAGCACCCTCGGCAGGGGTGCTGGCCACCCACCGTTTTACTTCACACCCCCGTTCAGAGCTCTGGCCTCGGCAGCGTGACGGGCCTGTCCAGCGCGAGCCGCCCGGCACTCTCGCCTGACATCGCTTCTTCTCCCTTCCAGCGCCTCGTCTTCCCTCTGCCTCCATACCGCCCCCCGCCGCCTCGCTTCCTCTCCATCCTCATCACGATTCCTGGCCGCTGCCTCGGCACCAGCAGCATGGTGGCCTTGCCCGGCGCGAGCTGGCACTCTCGCCCAACAACGCTTGCTCCTCCTCCCAGCGCCTCCTCCTAGTACTACTGCGACCGCAACTACTACCACCACCGCAACAAATATGAGAACAATTACGACTAGCACTGCTATTACTAGTACTACTAGTACTACTAGTACTACTAGTACTACTAGTACTACTAGTACTACTAGTACCAGTACTAGTACTAGTACTGCTACTACTACTACTACTACTACTACTACTACTACTACTACTACTACTACTGCTACTGCTACTGCTACGACTACTACTACTACTACTACTACTACTACTACTAACTACTACTACTACTACTACTACTACTACTACTACTACTACTACTGCTGCTGCTACTACTGCTACTGCTACTGCTACTGCTACGACTATTCTTATTACTACTACTATTCCTACTAGTGCTACTACTACCACTACGCTTATTTCCATTACTTCCACTACTACTACTACGACTACTACTACTACTACTACTACTACGACTACTACTACTACTACTACTACTACTACTACTACGACTACTACTACTACTACTCCACTACTACTACTACGACTACTGCTACTACTATTACATTCTTACTACTACGACTACTACTACTACTACTACTACTATTACTACTACTACTACTACTACACTACTACTACTACTACTACTACTACTACTACTACTACTACTACTACTACTACTACTACTACTACTACTACGAGTACTACAATTTCGAATACTACTTCTACTACGACGACTACTACTACTACTACGACTACGAATACTACTACCACTACTACTTCTACTACTCCTACGACTACTACGACTACGACTACTACTACTACTACTACTATACTACTACTACTACTACTACTACTACTACTACTACTACTACTACTACTACTACTACTACTACTACTACTACTACTACTACTACTACTACTACTACTTACTACTACCTACTACTACTACTACTACTACTACTACTACTACTACTACTACTACTACTACTACTACTACTACTACTACTACTACTACTACTACTACTACTACTACTACTACTACTACTACTACTACTACTACTACTACTACTACTAGGTCCCCCCCCCTCGAGGGGACCCCCACCAAACCCCACGGCTAAGAGGAACCGCTCTCGTTGCCCCACTCCTCTTCCCCAAAGGATGGAGGGTGAGGAGAATTCTATCAGAGGAGGAAGGCGGAGGGAGGAGGAGGAGGAGGAGGTTCCCGCGTGAGAGGTCCCACACAAATCCTCTGTGGGAGAGCTCCCGCGTGAGAGGTCCCCCCCCCCCCAAAAAAAAAAGGAGGCTCCCACCTGAGAGGTCCCAAAACAAAAAAAAAAAACACTCCGAACGAGGCTCCCGCCTGAGAGGTCCCAAAAAAAACCCAAAGACATCCAAGAGCCACCCCTCTCATCCCTGTAATTGTCCCAAAAAAACAAAAAAGTTCCAGAGGAGAACTCCTCCTCCACCCCGCTTCCTCCTCTTCTTACCCGTCAAATAACACACTCAAAACGAGGCTCCCGCCTGAGAGGTCCCCAAAAAACACACACACACACACACACACACACACACACAACGAAGCTCCCGCCTGAGAGGTCCCAAAAAAAACACTCAAAACGAGGCTCCCGCCTGAGAGGTCACAAAAAAAACCAAAGAAATCCAAGAGCCACCCTTCTCATCCCTGTAACTGTACCAAAAAACCAAAAACAAACCCAAAGTTTCAGAGGAGAACTCCCCCGCCCCCGCTTCCTCCTCTTCTTACCCGCCCTCTGGAAGATGACGAGGAGTTCTCCTCTGGAACTTTGGGTTTTTTGTGTTTTTTGGGACAGCTACAGGGATGAGAGGGGTTGCTCTTGGATTTCTTTTGGTTTTTTGGGGACCTCTCAGGCGGGAGCCTCGTTTTGAGTGCTTTTTTGGGGACCTCCCAGGCGGGAGCATCGTTTTGGGACCTCCCAGGCGGGAGCACCGTCACGTGGGAGGTTCATGCTCTCCTCCTTCCTTTACCCTTCTCCCTTTCTTTCCTTCCTCCTCCCTCACCCTCCTCCTCACTCTCTCTCTCTCTCTCTCCCTCTCTCCCCCTCTCTCTCTCTCTCTCTCTCTCTTTCTCTCATCACTTATTATATATATCTCTCATTATCTCGTTTCCTCTCTCCCTCTCAATGTCGGAAGCGCAATAATTTTTCACTGTTGGAACGCAGTGCTCTGGATCCATCGAAGCGCAATGCTTCGTCCTCGTCGGGAGCGCAATGTTTCCTTCTCGTCGGAAGCGCAATGTTTCCTCCTCGTCGGAAGCGCAATGCTTCCTCCCCGTGGGAAACGCAATGTTTCCTCCTCGTCGGAGCAACGCCTTGGATCCGTCGAAGCGCAAGGCTACGTGCTTGTCGGAAGCGCAATGTTTCCTATTCGTCGGAAGCGCAATGTTTCCTGTGTGTCGGAAGCGCAAAGTTTCCTCTCTGTCGGAAGCGCAATGTTTCCTCCTCGTCAGAAGCGCAATGCTTCATGTTTGGTGGGGCGCATTGTTCTGGTTTCACCGAAGCGCAATGCTTCGTCCTCGTCGGAAGCGCAATGTTCCCTCGTCGGAAGCGCAACGTTTCCTCCTTTGTCGGAAGCGCAATGTTTCCTCCCCGTCGGAACGCAATGCTCTGGATCCCTCGAAGCGCAAGGCTTCGTGCTTGTCGGAAGCGCAGTGTTTCCTCCCCCTCCCTTCCATTCCCAGGCATGAAGGCCGGTGCGACGCCCGATTCGGTGAGAGACACATAATTAGCGACATGGAAAGGGATGGGAGGGAGGGGTAGGATGTCAGATGTAGCGCGAGCGCACCTAGTTTGCTCTCTCTCTCTCTCTCTCTCTCTCTCTCTCTCTCTCTCTCTCTCTCTCTCTCTTCTCTCTCTCTCTCTTTCTCTCTCTCTCTCTCTCTCTCTCTCTCTCTCTCTCTCTCTCTCTCTCTCTCCCTCTCTTTCTCGCTCCCCCCCCTCCCCCTCCCCCCCCCCATCCCCCCTCCCTCCCCCCCATCCACCCCCATCCCCCTATATCAGTATCTCTCTCTCTCTCTCTTCTCTCTTCTCTTTCTCTCGCAATCTCCCTGGCCGTGGCCGCCGAGAAGGGGGAGGCGAGCTGAGTTCTCTCTTGGGGTGGGCGCGTAGGGGGCGCAAGCATGCCCGCAGCAGTCTCTCCGCGGCGTGCCGCCGCCATGGATCGCAGACAGCGGGCTCGCGCGCAGAGATGGGGGCGCGCGCGACGAAACATGCAGTCTTTTTCATCGTCGTCGTCAATCCGACCATTATCGGGAGCCGCCCTTTCCCCTCCTGATGTGCACGCAGCAGACATTGCAGGACCCAGATAACGCAGTAGTCAGACGCATGCGCGCGCAAACGTGCACGCACAGAGAACTGCAGAAGGAATGCGAGGATGAAATAAGAAGAAGCTCGTGGGCATCAACGCCAACAAGCCGCAGGCGATTGCGCGGGCGCTGCGCGAGGGGCAGTGGTGCCATTGGATCGGCGCGGAGGACAGGTTCAAGGCCATGGGGGACGTGATCAAGTTTTGCCGCGACAACAGGGGGCCGTGCGCGCGGGGGCGCGTGCAGCATGGGGTTCCGATTGCATTGTTAAAAATTGTGTAAATTTCGGTGTAGGAAAACATTGGTTTCGATACGGTACTTCCCATATAGAATGGTCGTCGGGGGTCCCCCTGAGGGGGGGGGTGGGCTACTACTACTACTACTACCACCACTACTACTACTACTACTACTACTACTACTACTACTACTACTACTACTACTACGCTCACGATCACTAGTGCTAACGATGATTATTATTACTAGTATCACGATTACTACTACTACGACTACTACAACAACAACTACTACTACTGCTACGACTACTACTACCACTGCTACTTCTACGACTCCTACGACTATTACTACTACGAGTACTACGGCTACTACCACTACTACGACTACGACTACTACTACTACTACTATTACTACTACTACTACTACTACTACCACTACTACTACTACTACTACTACTACTACTACTACGACTACTACAATTATTACGACTACTATTATTACTTTTGCAATTATTACTAGTACAACTACGACTACTATGTCTACTACGAAGTTTACTATCACGACTACTACGATTATTAGTAGTAGTAATTACTATTATTACTACTATTGCCACTGGTGCTATTATTACTACTATTATTACTAATATTGCTACTATTACTATTACTATGATTACTACTGCGACTACTAAGACTACGACTGCTAGTACTACTACCACTACTATTACGACGACGTCGGCGACGACCACGACGACTATTTGTACGACTACCGCTACCACCATCACGAGTACGACTACCACATACTACGACTACCCTTACTACTACGACTACTACTACTACTACTACTACTACTACTACTACTACTACTACTACTACTACTACCACTACTTCTACTACTGTCATTACTACTACTACGACTACTACTACTTCTGCGACGACTACTACGACTACGACTTTTACCACTACTACTACTGCGACTGCT